CCCCCTCAGCTGCCTCCTGCCTGAGCCAAGGAGACGGCAGGGACGAGCCACTGAGGCAGAGGGTAAACAACGCATCACTGCTGTGACTCAGGGCCACAAATCACAGGCCGCGGACACCTCTAACCAGGACCAGGCCTGCTGACGGGGGCCTGTGAGTGATCCGGCCCAGGAGTGCCACGCCATCACAGGGCTCGCACCAAAGACCCTACCTGCCCTCCGGTGCCCCTGTGCACCTTGGGTTATCAGACAGAACTGCCCTTTTACCCCAAAGGGGGTGGAGGTGCACTAACACAATGTGATAACAGCCAAACAGGCAGACACTGTTGTCCCTCCTTCCATCCCATTCCTTGGCTGTAAAAGCCTCTAAGTTCCATAAAAAAAAAATCACACTCAGTCTTTCCAGGCAAGGCCCTCACTGTCTCTCCCGCCCCCGCGATATGCACATTCTTCCATTGGTGATGGTCAATACATTTAGCACAGGAGGATTATGGGTAAGCCTACCATCAACTAGAGGGCTACTGAATGGCTTCTGGGTTTTACCAGGCCCATATGGGGGAAAGTGTTTGCAGAGATGCACAAGAGATTCCCAGCTCGGGGCTTTCCATGCCGAGGGGCATCAGGATTCCTCGTTGGGTAAAACAGAGAAATAATGAAACGCCATACTGCCGATTTCTGCATCATGTCAAAGGCTGGGATAACGTGACGTCTCTGCAGAGCCATGTGTTTTTAGATGGTGACAACAATGGCATGGCGGCCCGATATAGGGCTGTCCTCCCGAGGGCTTTTAAGCTGTCGTCTTTTGAAGCTTAGACATGCAGGCACGCTCTCTCTCTCTCACACACACACACACACGCTACACAAACAAATGGACTGTACACGCCAACCCTTTGTTGGTCGGAGCAAACGTGGTCAGAACGGGGTGGACGTCTAATTCCTGTGACAGGCCGCATTAGCGTACAAGACAAAGTCAAAGGAAGGGAAGCCTGGGGGCAAGAATCGAGAAGAAAGCAGAAAATCTCATTTAGTTTTGAAAAACATGGCCCCCACCAAGACGTGGCTACAGATTGGGGTTCCTCTCATGTCTTTGGATATGCGAGCTCCTTACGACTGGGCTGCTCTTACAAAAGTGCGGTTTTTGTTTTTGCAATCCATAATTGCTGCTCGAAAACAGTTCGGCAGCTAGAAGAGGATGGCGCTCCAAAAATTCAATCTATCATGGATCCTCATCTACTGCTGGGTTGCTGGCTACCACACACAACTAACCTGTAACCATCTTGGACCAGGATCGGAAATTTATGCATCCCTCACACCCAGAAGGTAGGGCAAACACTATACACAGTGACATCCCACCATCTCTACTTAGATGAAGCCAGTTAAAGCTTGGATGAACGCCACACCAGACTGAAATAGAAAATGGCAACTGAGTTAAGTTAAATAATGGGCAAAGGGCCTGGAAGGCAGGACTCACGACCTGAGAGATGCTTCCCTCGTGTAAAAGTGCTTTGGGATATACGGCTCACCTCTGATCTTTAACCTTTCCCTGCGTAACCTAATGAGAGTCTATGGCCTCCATGAGACTGAATCCCAGAGTGGCTCTTCTCACCGTCATGTAAATGCAGCCCCATAAAAGCAGCACAGAATAACATGGCACAACAGAGGGGGAAAAAAAGGCTCTCAGAGAAAATAACACACACTCCGGCGCTGCAGCATAAATCGTCTGATCCAGTCTACGCTTTATTACGGCTGTTGTAGGCTATTTTCGAGGAGCCCAGGGAAAAGGGCCTGCGTTTCGCGTGCTGAACTTTCTCCACATAAACAGGCTTTAACTCAAAGCATTACACTCTGTACCTCTGCCAGTTCTTCAGCGGGGGCGCCGGCAACTGAAACGGGGCCAAAGAAAAGACCAGAGATGTGTTTTCTACTCAATTACAACTGTCTCAGCATCTGTAGGGCAGGCATTAATCAGTTAATGCTACGCTGACCGGTGAAAGATGAAGAAAAGGGATGTTTTAGATGTGTTCCAGCTGAGCGGATGAATTATTGACTATGACGCAACGCATCCAGCTGACATTAAAAGACAGGTGGATTAGAAAAGGGGATTAACCTGCAACTAGACAGTCACACAACGAAATCCCTAAGGTCCCGCAGCTTTGATGCAAAGCTCTAAGCAGAAATGCATTAAAAAGACCCACATTCAGACTGCCCCAAAGAAGACGATTTCAATTTATTTGTGCAGAGTGACTACCTGCTATGAGTACTACTGATACTATGCAGTGCGGAAAACCAAAAAGCCTCTGACTCAAACTGAATCATACGTGGCTCACAGAGCGAGGGGAAGCTATGCTACCAGAGTAGCCCTTGCGGCCGGGTCTAATTCCTGATTCACTCTAAACATGAATCATGGGCTGCAGGGAACTGCTCGGGTTGACTTCACTCTTGTTTATGTATTTTAATAAATCGCCCTTCCTCACACCCGAAACCGCAGGGCAATTCGATCCAAAGTCAACCTCCTTTTCCACAGTCACTCACACCTCCGTTCAAAATGAACCATGTCGCCCAAAGCGGGCTGGTCAAGTATCGTAAGTAGCTAGGCAGATAGTCGACGTTCCAAGACAACGGTTCAAAAGTTCTCCTCTCAGACCATCGCACCAAGAATAAGTGAGGAAGGAAATCCTGGAAGAAAGTGATTTCCAGCGGGTCAATGCATGGAAAGTCGAGGAAGCTGGTAAGAGGATACAGCTGGTCTACAAGGGGTCATGGCTCAACACTTCATTGAATAAAGAAGTCTGACCTGGGACACAAGAGTAACACAGGCACTCAAACGCCAGTACCTGGGGAACACATGCAGGCACAGAGAAACAACCACACACATGCATACTGGCCTCAGAAAGGTAACACTCTTGAGAAGACGGCGGGCGGCGTAGCGATACCTGAGGTACTCACAGCTGTCGAGTACGGATTCAAGTTGCAGGCGTTCTCGGCCCAGCAGCCACACCCGTAATGAGCTGCCTAAAGACACACAAGTCCAGAGAACATCACCGCGGTTACTACTCATGCCATTCCATGCTGGTGTGGGAACCGGTGAATCATACAAGCAGGATGATGTTAAACAGGAATGTCAAGGGAGTCTTGGTGGAAAGTCAGAGGGCCTTCCTAGCTTCGAGCAGGGGCTTCATGCCGCGTGTGAAGGGTGATCTGAAGATGGGAGGGGCCCTACCTGGCCAACTCTACCCGGATGCTTCATGGCAAGGCCTCCGCTCGATACTGCCGCCGCCACGTTGCCTTCCTGGTCCACCACGACAGCCCCCACCGTGTCCAGAGACCCAGAGCCATTCTCCTGCTGAGGGATCGATAGGACAGGCTGTCAGCAGAAGTAGGTCTACAGCTTGCAACAGGACGCCAGGTCCGGTATTGATAGATGGGTGTTTTCGGTGCTGGAAGAGGCCCAAGGTCATGCCGTCATCTTTTAGCCTCATACGGATCTCATCTTAAAGAAAACTGGTCCCCAAAATTCCATTTCAAATTCCAAATTACTTCCTCCTCAGAAGCAGAGGAATTCTCCTGATCATGCACTGCGATTTCTGGCACTTCAGTTGTTCCATTCCACCCTCCTGCACATTGCTGACAGCATTAATAAGAACTATTATTATTATTGCTGCTGTTGTTTAATAATAAACAGGACTTTAAAATCTGTTAGCAGAAAGCATCCCCGCACCAAAACTGAGCAAGTGTTACTTTTGGGAAGACAAAAAAAAAAAAACATCGGCAAAACATTATTGTTTGTGTGCCTTGGAAAAAAAAAGGTCTGAAGGTCAAAAAAGTAATTTATATTGCAAAAAAAAATAGAAATCAAAACCCGGCCAGTCGTAATCACCACATCATAGGGGCAACGGCGGTCTTTTTAATGAAAAAATACAAACTGGAAAACAAAGGATTGGGCTCCTTGAAAGGGCTTCATTTCCATCTCTTTGGAGCTAACGGGAGGCCCTACAGAAAGGGAGACTCAGTCTGAGGATAACCTTTTAGCCGGGAACGTGCAAATGCACACGCACGACTGGGATGCTTCACTGCTGACAGGAGCTACCGCCTGATTGGCTACTCAGCAGGGAAGGGGCGGGACGAGTGCACCTTGAGGAAATGCTGTTCTTAAAAAGGCCCTGGATCCATAATAACCATGAGGGTTATGGGTGCAGATCAGCACATCCAAAAGGAGGATAACCCCACAAGATCAAGACTACAAAGAAGTACAACAAGCAGTCAGCTGGGATCCAAAATAAATAATAACAATAATAATAATAATAATAATAAATCATCTTTTTTTACATAGCAACTTTCTACATAAAATGCAGTCCAAAGTTTTACACACTGAAAATAAAAATGAGATTTTTTCTTCTTTTTTTTTAATTGAGACATGCAACTAAACAGGGTAAGCAATTAGAGTAAATAACTAAGACATTTTTAAAAGTCACGCCTGTTAGAGACCAACCGAATTTAAGGAGGCCAGGAAGACAGGGCACAGCACACAATGGGAAGAAATTTGTTCCTGGATGCAAATCGCACCAGATAATGACAGGAATGGTGCAAAAAATGACATTGGTTAAGTACTTCTAGCCAACATCATTACAGGCCTCCATAAACGCCAGAGCAATTAAAACTTCCATTTTCTTTCCTTTTTAATTAATATCCACTTAATAGCAGACAAAACTAAGGGTAGCAAACTAAGGAAAACAGGATTAAGTCGCGGCCTCGTGGAAGCTTTCCTTTCCTCTGCCCTCTGAAGACGTTCCCCTCGATAAAAATGGAAGCTGGAGCAATTTAAATTGTTTTTCAAGGAACCGCTGCTTTATCCCCCCCCCCCCCATTCACAGACGAGGCACCCCCCCACCCCATCCACCCTCATCCCAGCAAAAGCAGCCCCCCCCCACATCCTGTAATATCAATGCAATGTGGAGGACAGACACGGCCAAGCAAGCCAAATGTTTGTCTTTCCAGTCAAATAACAGAACTGGCTGAACTTTGCCTAGGCTTCTATTATGATTTAATCTCCAAGATTTATGCCTAATAACCCGTCAGTGACCCCTCCCCCCCGCCGCCCCCACCAGTTAATTTATTAAAACGTTTGCTTGTGCGGTTCCTTTTCACGCAGACGGACCACACAGCAATGTGGAATAAAGGTAAACCTGAGAGGGCCAGGCACACCTCCACCTCGTACCTCCACCCCGCACCTCGTACTTCCACCTCGTACCTCCACCCCGCACCTCGTACTTCCACCTCGTACCTCTACCCCAGTTCAGTCAAACAGGGCCCACATCCTCCCAAAGCCGGCGCTTTTGAAGTCAAAATACACCTCTCACACCCGCACGCGCCAATTTCTAACCAAAAAAAAGGGGGTAAACATGATTAACTACGCTACACAGAAGAATTTACATAATAATTTCAAGATGGGAAGCAGGCAGAGCGAAAAGACAGACCGAAGAAGATGGACACTCACGGCACTATTCAGGGAGGACATCATACCATTTTATTCCCCGGATGTGAGAGCCATAGATTGGGATTTTTTCCCACCTTCACCAGAGAATCCCACAGCAAACAGGGAGGTCCAGGACACAAAGCCTTTCCGGCAGGAAGAGAGAGCGAGCATCTCCTCCGCCGGGGATTCGCGATTGTGACAGAAACCACAACCGGGCTTTTCAAAGACGCTGAAAAAGGGTGAGATGGAAACAGCAGCGGCCCCACGCTAATGAGCAGAAAACAACTTTTACAACTCCTGTGTGTGTGTGTGTGCGTATGTGTGCGTGCGTGTGTGTGTGTGTGTGTGTGTGTGTGTGTGTGTGTGTGTGTGTGTGTGTACGCGCGACTTTCCAAATGCCCCATCCCGCTTCCATCATTAGAGGAGAAAAAGATCCAAAGAGGACAGGAAAAAGATCAACGCTATGAAATATCACAAAGAGCAAACGAACTGTGACCTATAAAATGCAGCAGATGTGGACGGCTTTGACACAAACCATGCTATCTGAAACAAGAGCTTCTCTCCCTTTGTGAAGGGGTTTAGTTAATACTCTTAGTAAAAACCTTTCATTGTTATATTGTTGCAGGCCTTAAAATGCAAGAAGAAAATCATCCCATTTCAAATATATTATTTTACGTTTGCTTACGACGCCCACAGAAAAAAACGCCGTTTGAAACTGACCTACCTGGAATTCAAGGCACATGATGTAAATGTAACTTTTTAATTACACTAGACATACGGACAGCTCCCCACTGCCAATTTCTAAGGCTGCTATTCCGATTGGCTGAGGATTCCTTTCTTCTCTCTGATTGGATGCCGATGCCAGCCTTTCCTCTCTAAGGCAAGGGTGGCGGTGACCCACAGCTTCAGCTATGCATGTAAGCAGTCATGAGGGTCAAAGGGCGTGATGACAGCACCATGCGGCTTGGGGGCCACAGCGGGACTCTGAGGCCAGGAAGATCCCGCAGTGCCACAATTTGTTGTTCCTCCCTCCTCTGTCACAGACAAGGCCAATCCAAACAGCAGCAGACCACAAGAGTTAATCCTTTGTTTACATAGCTGCTTAATCCATGTTCCCCCCCCCCCTTTTGGCAATTATGGGTTATTGAAATCTGCAGTAGTTATGCAGTAATTGAAGCCTCTAAAACAACCCCCCAACCCCGAATGCCGGCAGCAGGGATGAAAGGTTTCCACAGACGCTGGAAACCTGTGCACAGACGCTGCACAGAAATGGACATACCTGCACCACATTAATGGCTAATGGTGCTTTTCCACTGCCACCAGCAACCGAGTCGTACCCGACCCATACCTGTGCTGACACTGCTTACTAGCAGGGGCGAAAGCGTGACCAACCCGAGTTTGGCTGCATCAGCTATCTGATTGGTCGAAATACATGGGGACGAGACAGAACCAGTAATCTGTGTCCATGTGCTCGGATTATATGAAGGTGAAAGGGACATATTTTATATGGAGACTGAACGGAATAGATTCATAATGCAAATTTTCGCAAAGTAATGCTAAATCCACTACAGTCTGATGCTAACATAAGATTCTCACAGACGTGCTAGCGGAAATTAGCATATAACAAATCACGACGTACACTGTGTGAACAGCAAACAAGCGCCTGCTTGGTTTTCCTTCACTGTCGCTCTCTAACCCAGCCACGCCGATACTGAGCCGACTGTTCTGCAGGGGAAAATCGAAGCGAGCCGGGACTGCACTGTGACTGCTCTCTCTTCACGATACAGGTCGATTCCTGTATGCCAATGGAAAAGCGCCATAGGTGAGCGCAGGACATTCATCCAGGCTGTCGAACATTAGGTGTCAGCTAAGAGCGCCGTCTTCAGACTGATAAGGAGCAATCGCTACTTGCTTTGAAGTCTAAGTCAGGCCCCGCAGCTTCAAAGGAAACACACCTCAGGAAGAACAGAACCCACCTCTCTGGATTTCACATTCAAATCTGCATTTACCAGAAGCCCTCATCGCCTGCTTACAGACGCTCTGTCCCTATTAAATTCTGTGTACAGATAATCTAGCGCAGCAATTTAAATACTAAGATGGGAAGCCCCAGAATGACTGGTTAAATTTTCCCTCTCTGACGGCATAAGGAATGCCGAATTAAGACCTGTGCCGAATTCCTAATCAATCACTTCCTTCCTGGCAGTGACGGAGGCCACTCACGTTCTCACTTGATTGTCTTCTCTTCTTCGCCTGCACGTAGTCAGACTCCACCTTCTCCGCCAGCTCTATTTTCCGCCTGTTCCTCTTGTAGGCGGACAAACTGAACTCTACACACATACGGGAGGGGGGAGAAAGACAGGAACATCTCAAAATCGCAAAATCTGATTATTTTTCAAAGGGGGGAAAAAATGAGAATGGGAAATACCTGAGAATGTTTGGGTTTTGCTACAATGTGTCAGATTCACATTGTTTGCGCAACAAACCAAAGAAACGGACATATTCCAATAAGATTGCTGAATTTTTACTCAAGCGATTCATGAATCTAAGTACTTCTGTACTTGGGACCTGGGTTTTAAAGATGTTCTTCTCCTAGGACTTGAAAACCTTAAGATCTCAGTGTTTTCTTCCACCTCATATAAGCTTTTTAGCATTGGTGCAAAAACTGGCTCCAAGTTTCATTTTCGCCTGCAAACCATCAGAAACGCCAAGCTGTTCCAGTCCTGTCCAGGGGGTGGTGACAACAAGCCCGCAGGCACGGAGCCATCAGCCATCAGAGCCCGCTAAATCCGCACCGCGCCATCAGATGATGCATCCCAGGCATTCGGACGCTGGCGGCAGGGGAACGAAAACCCAGGGCTCGATCCAATGCCCGCTCCGCAGACTAGCCAAGAACGGTTGCCCTGACTACCAGCGATCAAAGATGAGAGTATGCAGCGCACGTGGCAGTAAACAGAAATGAGGTTCCTAATCCAGAACAGTTTAGGATCCAACAAACAATTCAACATAAAAAAAAAAAAAATGTGCTTTTGGCTCAAGATTCATGGCAATGGATTACACACACATTTTGTTAAAGGGACAATCAGGAAGAATATCACCACTTGCAAAACAATTTGCTTTGCATGCGTCAAAACTATTAAGTGTAATTATGAAACACAAGTGCTATAAAGACGTTTACAGAACAGAAAATGGAATGCAGCGAGCTCCTATTAAAAAGCACAGTGCGCTTTGTCTCAATGAGGAAAAGTATCGTCAGACGAGCAGGTTGTCTGGTGTTATAAAAGTGAGTCACTCAGATTCACTAATACACTACTAAAATAACCTACGTGATCCGAACATTCAGGAACATGACTCAAAAATGAAAAATAGCTTCATATTTACAGAATGTATTCAGAGGACAATAAATCAGCACTGAAGGGTTCAGCTTTAAATCCATCATACAGCTTTCATGATCAAAAACACTTGAATTCACAAGTAGTAAATCTGTTGTGGAATTATGATGGAGATGATAAATGAATTTAAAACTGAGATATAAAGCCGTGGAAAAAATTGAGACCACTCTATATTTTTAAACAAATCTGTATTTTTAAATTATGGTTTAATTGTGGTTCTGCTGGCAGAAGGCTATGCTGAGCAACAGTTTTCTTTCAGGTTCAAAATTTCTAAGACAGCAGCACACAAGAACAAGGTGAAGCAGGAGACTCTCTGGGAAGCACCAGAAACCAGCCAGGTAAAGCGCAGAAGTGACTTTCTAATGCCAAACATGACCATTAACTTATATGACGTCAAGTGACTTTCAAAAGGAATGGGAATCATTAAGTGCAAGTGTGAGGTGCACTGCTAGGACAGTTCGTATCAGGCTCTGAGAAGCAGGACTGAGGGTCCCATAAAGCAAGGAAGAAGCCCTTCATTAATGAGAAGCAGGGAAGAACCAGGCTGCAGTTTGCAGAAAAATATATATTATTCACAGACGCACACCCATAAATTGGGAAATGAGTGAAACAAAAAGTGGCGCTGTGGTCTCAATTTTTTCCACGGCTGTAGATGCAATGTGAAGTTTTTATAAAATAACTGCTGAATTGTAGCTGCTCAGTTCAGGAAGGGAAATGGGCCCAAGTGTTTTTCTGAAGAACTAAATATGCAAGGAAATCAGTCACAGTCAGCATGTGTGTATTTGATATGTGCAACTCATTAGTACAGTAAGGATGTTAAAAGAAACCCTTAATCATGTGATTAAGGAATTGGATCGAAACGTCTTAAGCTCGCTATAGCACCGGTTAGCAAGGTGCACGCAGAAATGCTCTGATATGATGAGGGGGGGAATGAAGGTAAAACTGAGAGACCCAGCTGTACAAATGGACAGAACAAAGCATTCCAGCTCTGCAGTACCACATAGCGAGACTTCATATTAACACATATCTGGCTGCATTGCGTGCAAACACTCTATAAATAGAATAAACATATCACATGCCAACTCCAGTGGTGCCGTTTATTGGATTTTTAAGACAGAGAGAGAGAGAGAGAGAAAGAGCGCTGCACTTGTGGCATCACCAGGGATCTGAGTGTCAGCAGCACCTTCAGATGGTTCCCTGCTGGTTCTCTGTGCACCTTATCAACATCATTTTTCTGGCCTACATAAGTCCATTGGCAAGAGCATCAGCGGAGAGGAGGGTCATTCTGAGGACTCAACGAGGGCGAAATACTCACTCGTGGCCATTTTGTCCGAAGGACAGGATGGTATCCCATGGCTCAGTGCCCAGTGATAGGCTCCTCGCCCCACCAAAAAGCTGAGACAGAAGAACCAACCGAGCATGTTACTGAGGGCGTGATTATGACCGCTGTGAGGTAACAAGCACAGCCGACAGACAAAACAACATTTGCCTTTAACATTCCAGTGGTTCCAAATAAAGGACTGGGAGAGTCACACTAATTCACTGAATAGTCTACAAAGGTCTCGATATACAACAATTAAAAAGCACTTATGCAGAAATACAGAAATGCATAACCGTTTAAAAATCATTCGGAGCAAGAGCGCTCGGCAAGCAATGAATCGATAAAATAAATCCAGGTGCTTTCTGGGAAATGACGAGCGACTGCCAGCCAGAATCATGCTGATTTTGGCCGAACGCTATTCCTGAAGAGAAGAAAGGGGCCCTGTTTCTTGTTTCTTCTGCATCTGTGATGGTCCTCCCATGTTTAAAAAGAACTAAATTCAGCAAATTCAAAGAAAACACTATTTCACACATTCCATATTCCAAGGGGAAGGAACGCAATAGCTGATATATTAAGTTTCGCAGATTCCTAAGGAAACCCTAATCTGAAGAACATGCTGTCAAAACAGAGCCTCTCCACTGTAGGCCTGGGCAACCCATCAAAGGTGGTGCTCCCTTGGGGGCAGGTGGCAGAGGTGCCACTGCTGACTGGAGGACCTACCATGGAGGAACACGACCCGCAGACAGTTTTCCTTTGAGGGCTTCGCTCAGCAGTCTGCTCGCCACCAACACTGGATTCTTAATGTCTGGCGGGACAGATAAACAAGAGCAACAGGTGTCAGTAACCCCAAATGGGATATACTGACTGCAAAAGAAATCAATTAAACAAGGAAAGAAGTGGCGAGTTGAACTGAAAAGGCACTTATGCAGCCAATAGACTTTCTATTTTGGGCAGAGTAACCGGTGTCCCACATTAACATCGATCACCGAAGGGTGACTGAACATCAGTACAAAATGAGAATGTATTTACGGTGAATTCTCGCTGAGACATCCGGTGTTCTGTGACAAGGTCTCCAACTCCCACTGTCACTCTGATAACTGAACCCAATGGGAACAACAAGCTTGTGTTCAAAAGCCATCGCCGGGGTCCACAAGCAAAGCCCTCAGTCAGCAAGGCAATAGGATCCCAAAGGACAGCAGGCCCAGAGCCAGAAGTACATTTGTGTGTCCAGCAAGGGGGTTTTAAACTTATGTTTGCTACCCGTAACTCAGGGGTGGCCAATCTTATCCGCAAAGGGCCGGTGTGTCTGCGGGTTTTCGCTGCAACTCCCTAATTAGATTACTAATTAGAGGACTGATTGGCTGATGAGTCCTCACACCTGGGTTTGAACAGCTGACCTAAAGGTTACCCCAAAAACCTGCATACACACCGGCCCTTTGCGGATAAGACTGGCCACCCCTGGCCTAACTGATAGCAAATATAATTCGGGCGAGGGGGTGGGGGCTCAAACCTGTTATTTTACTACATGGCAACATGTCTGAAGTACAGGGTGAAACTATACGGCTCCCATCTAGACAACCATGGCATGTTCATAATCGCAACGGGGAAGGATTCATTTGAAATGCAAATGGTAATTCAGTAATTGTTTACTCTATTTGAAGATGATTGTCTGTCCTAAGGATTACACAGTATTCTTGAATTCTTTCTTCACTTGTGTTTTTAGTTTAATAAACTGATACAGTAGCTTGTTCTTAAATACTGATGACTGTCCCTTTTTGGAGATCAATTTAATGAAGTGCGATGCGCAGGATTTCTCGGCTGTAGATCGGAGAGTTTACTGCGCGTTCCAGAAACGCAGCCGCAATTGGCCTCTTGAAATCTACACACGCATGGATGCAAGCGTACACATATAAGCAGACGTATACAGGAAGGAAATAAAGAAGGAAATACTTGGAACAGGGCTTCACTCTCAATTGCCTCCTAGCAAAAACCTTATGTGAAATGCATGGACAGGGAGCATTATAAATTTGCGCCAAGAAGAATTTCTTTGCCATGTAACAATTTTATGGTTTAACTGTTAGAGCAAAGCACTGCAGTCTTATCAGCTCTGGCTATGACGGTAAACACTTCCTGTTCTCTGATTGCTGCCTTTTTGAGTAGACGACGTGCCTTGGCAATTCTCTTTCAGTAGGATGCAAATGCTCTTTAAGCTTTGAGGCCTTCCAGGGCTTACTTATGGAAGAACGGTTCAATACTCTTGCAAAACATCTCCAGTTGCCCATTCCGGAGGAATAGACTCCACAAAGTGACATTCTCTTGGAGTCTGAACGGACTGTTTTTTTTTTTTTTTTTTTTTTGTGGCTTACGCCTGTCATAATCCAAAGCACACCCAGGGCGAAGCCCACAGTGGGGTACAGCATAATGGAAACGGCATGGGCAACCAAAGGGGCCATTTTTACAAGAGCCAAAGACAACTGCCAGAACACTGAAAAGAAAGGAGGATTGAGAGGACCCTCCATTCAACCCAGGGGAAAGCAATGCAAGGGATTTATCATGCAGAAGCTCACGCCATTGAACAGGCACAACCAGGGACAAACATAACACCAGTGACGAACAAACTCACTAGCTTAGAAACCTTACCACTGAGGGCACCCACTGCCCCATACTGCAAGGATTTTCCATCCATGATGCTGGCGTCACATTCAATCTCCCCTGACAGGTTCAGGTTGGAGCCCATGCCCGCGTTGGTGAAAGGAGAATCCTGTGAAGTTCAAACCACTTTTAAGACACCTGTCGGACTTTTTTTGGCACTGGATTCCTCCAGCTGTTTCCCTTCGCTCTCCATCCAGCAGCTGGATAACATTCACAAAGGAGCTAGACTCACTGTGTCGGGGCCATGCTTGCGTTTCTGTGAACGATGCCATTAAAATGACTGCGCGCCCCCAGCCAATCACACAGTCAGATTTATTGCACCCTGAGAAGAGTAACACTCCATAGGTACTGTAGTGTAGCATTTCCCAACATGGCCCACAGGGAGCCCCAAACAGTCCATGTTTTTTGCACCCTCTCAATTCCCTGCCAAACAGCCCACATTTTTCTTCTCTGTCTTAGCATCCTACTGAGAGCTGGAAGGGAGCAAAATCGTGGACTGTCTGGGCACCGGGTTGGGAAACGCTGTTCCAGAGAACAGGAAGGTGTGACGTGGGAGCGCACCTCCAACTCCACCAGTGCCGCAGTGACAGCCTCCACTGCTGGGGCACCAGCGTTCAGCTTCTCCACAGCCTGAGAGACACGTCCAAAGCACATAATGAGGGTCACTGCTCAACACTGACCTCTAGCACCAAAAAAAAAAAAAACTCAGACACCACTACCCCATGTGGCCATGGGATTCAACTTACACTGGCAACATTTTCGTCAAAGTAGAAATATATCAAAGTGAACACTTCAGCACAACAATTGGAACAGCAATACACTTAGATATAGGTGAGCGTGTGGTCTTGAGGCAATAACATGATGTAGCAGCCCTTTAAATTAAGACGTACTATCTCACACAAAAAAAAAAGTGGAGAAAAACACCTTAAGAGATACTGGGCTATAAATTTTATCCTGAGGTCTGGCTGTACCCAGACAGCCTCTAGCATGACGTAGCTTTGCTATCCACACATGACTTACATTCTCTGGCATGCTTTTGGCCATTCTTGATTTATTCCTGTAAATAAAACGATATACCGCAACAGCTTTGATTACAGACGGGGAGAAAGGTTCTTTCCCTGTTTTTTTTCATATTTTGAACTTTTCTTGTGGCAAGAGGGACTGCCAATACACAGAAAACACAGGATAACAAAGTCATTCTTTCTGCGCAATACTCACTGGTACTGCACTGCAGAGTTTTACTTGCTTTTTAACATACAGGAGTACTCTGGTGCAAACTCACCCTCTGGCAGGCTTTTTTACAGACATGCTTATACTCCTTGGCTTTGGACTCCGAGTGGTAACCAGCGCCTGAAATAAACAAGAAGTATAAGCAACAATAATGCTGAGTTGCCTATGACACATAGGGTGCATTGTTCTCAGACATTAGTTAGTTCAAACAAAGTAATATGCCTTGGCATATGAAGTATGGCACAATCAATAAAAGTATTGCAACAAAGGGCTTGAGTTATAAGCAAGCAAACTTTGGTTCAGAATGGGCTTGGACACTCTATAATGGCTCAATGAGGGAAACTGAAGCTTATGTCATAACTACAGACTGCAAAGGCCAAACCTCGTTAAACAATGGCTGAACAAAATCTGACAATTCATTTATAAATAATGGAGTAGTCCAATACAGAAAATTAAAATGCATCAATTAAGATCCCAAGTACACCATAAAGAGCTGTATCCCTTATTTACATCCTAGGAGTTAAAAGCATAGACAGTCGTTATGGGTTTTGTAGCAGGCTGTCATTGCACTGGTCAAAACAAACCTGCATGCACCAGCACAAACCCCATTGTCTTCCTGTCCCGTGGCTGGTCCTTCGGTGTATCTGCCGAGCCGCCGGAGATTCGCAGGAAAGTAGAGGGCAGCCGCACCTCGGCTTCTTGGATTATTTTGTCCATGACCCCAGCCCGACTCAGGAGGCATCATGCCCTGGCCGCCACTCAAAGGACAGGCATCATAGCAGGAGACAGAGCGCTGAAAACACGGAGAATGGGGATGAAAACAATAAGCAAGCCGGTGGCAGGTAAAGAGAGCCGTTGATGCTGACTAATGTGTGGGAAGGTACGATAACAACAGTACGGGGTCATTCAGAATGTATTAAGTATTTTAAGGGCATTTACATGGTGACTGAATTCAAAATTCTGGATTTGAATACCGAGAAGTCAAGACATTCATCTCTTACTAATCACCAGAAGCATATAGACGCTGGTAAATTTCATGTCCATTCGCTTTCAGTCAAAGCGACGCAGAGAGTTTAGAAATTGTACAAATTTCTATGAAAGTTCCTAAGTTGTTACTATGCATCAGTTCTTAAAATTTATTTGTGATCAGCACAAAGTAAACTGAATTTAGCAATTAGCTTGATATGCGGCTAGCTAACCAGCCGGCTAAATTAACTCAATATGGCAACAATTAAACCTTACGTGTAGAATATCCAAAAATGCTATTACTACGTTAGATGGTTAAAAAGACACATAATGCCGTTTGTACTCCAAGAAGTTGACACCGTCGATTGAATTGCAAGAGTTTGCTAGCAAGCTTTTCTGAATGGGGGGGAAACTTCTAACGTTAGCTAACTAGCGAGCTGCGTGGAAACATTCAGAGTCAAAGACGTTCAGATTGCACATGTTAAATAGGCTCCTTTCGACAGTGCGAGCGGACGGCTGTCTAATTTGCTGCAATCGATGCTAGATTATTATTTTTGGCGCTGGTCTTTGAAAACGAGCCGCATCGCATTCATCTCGGCATTTCGCCGTGCAGTCCGACACGCCACCGAGCAAATCACTTCCTAGTTCATTGGCAAAGCGGCGTCACGTGACGCATGCGCGTACGCTTCCCTGGCAGCTGGAGCGCGTGAGTGCAGTGAAGTGAAGTGATCGCGAATCACGAACCGTAGTAGATCGTTATTGTCATCACTAATATTCTTTGTATGTGGAATTTTTAGAATAATATATACAACGTACATAGAACTTTCAGAGCACTATACATGTAAATCATTACGTACAGTCCCGCTGTTTTGTACCGTCCTGTGTTTTTGCCCTGCCTTAGTTCCATGCACCGTGGTCCTGGGGGAACCTCATCTCGTGCCACTGTATGTGGATATGACAAAAAAATCCTACTTGACTAACCTGGGTGGGGTGTGGATTAATTTCCGGTTATCTTTCAGAAATTAATAAATGTCTACATAATACTTTTTTTGAATAAAGAATACTTTATTCGCTGTTGTACAAGTATGTGGTTTTAATTTTCGTAAATCTCACCTGGATCTCCTGTATGACCCGTAAATACGGGCGAGAAAGAGAAGCTTGTAGTCAGAAATTGGTTTGTGCAAAAAGGCAGCGTTTGTTTTGAAGCCAACGAATTGCAAAGTGTATAAAGAATGTATGATAAGCGTATTTGACCATCAGACCACCATCTGTACTTCATGAGAGACAGTGTCTCCATATTGGGAATATAGCAGCTAAATACTTGCCTTTGAAGGGAAATTCAAGTTTACAGACATCTGTCGTCCCCCTTTAACATATGGTTATGCCACGCAAACAATCTGGGCTTCTTTCACGAACTAGTATATGCAATGCTGATATTAATCGAGCGAGTATGAAGCAGTTCCACTAACCTTCTCCTGTCACGGCCGATGACGAGGGTGATGCATGGGTTAATTTCATTTAATACATTTGGTAGGAATACAAGGACGTACTTTTACTGGAATATTTCACCACACACTTCACAAATAATTGCTTTAAAAAATAACCAAGTAAAATAATTTCCTTATTCCGATAGATCTGAATGAAGTCACCTCAGATATTTACTCTTTCATTGGTTTTAAATTGGGCATGACTGCTGTACGCCCTATGCGAGCCTGTTAAATCTATTATCATTTCATTGTCTTTAACCAAAGAAACTTAAAATGAATTTGGAAATGGAAACTCTGCGTGTGTAGATATGGTGCTTTACCAAGGACACTGTAACACCGCTAGAGCCCCTTCTGGAGCCTCACGCAGCAACATTTTAGTACGGGCGTTACTTGAAATGGTCTAGATGACACACAGACACTACTGAGTGCAAGCACTGGTCAGGATTCCACTCTCCTGGATTATCTAAACATTATCCTCAACAGATGTTTTGATGGAGACACCAGCAGAAATAAACTGGAACAGATTCTGTCGGACCACAAAGCCGAAACAGGATCTTCTTTTCCACGGTCAACACAGAAATTCAGTTTGGTTCCTGAGGGCTTTCACCTGAAATGTCCCAAGCATCCACAACCTACAATATGATGTTGTCAGAGTAAACACAGCACGCCGTGCCCACCTACCTCTCCCACCCAAATGAGGTCCAAGGTCAGACTACATTCAGCTTGATCTTAGTTAACTCTCAAATATAATTCATTGGCACCCGCCTAGTAAGACATTGTGAATCTCAAATCACGTTTTCACCATTATAACACAAATGGTGTCATGATGCTTTTAAGGAAAAATATTTGAAACCATAGCGTGAATGAAAAGTGACAAGTAATAACAGCATTTTGGCTTAGTGTGTCCCTGTTGCACATGAGAATTTTACATTCATCTACCAGTAAAATAAATACTTCCAACTGCTCACAAATTACATATGAACTTATGCTTATAAACTTATATATAGGGAAAGGAGTCCTGGGCCTATATTCACAAATCTTTGTGTCTTTCCACTAAGAGTACTTCTAAATCACACTAAAAGTTTTTTTTTTTCCTGAAACCTATTCACAAAGTGGCTGAGAGCAACTTTTAGTTAGGAAGAGAGCCAACTCCTAAGGTAAGAGTAAGACTCTCAGTTCTCACGCACGACTTGCCTGCGGTAAGCACGGGGTTTGGTGCTGGTGAAAATGTATGTGCCACATCCCATAAACACAAATACAGTGGAAACCACTTATAGTGGCCATGTTTATAGTGATCAACCAATTATGGGACAGAATCATTCTTGTACAAATACTGTTTAAATAATTTGCTTATAGTAATCAAGTACAGTGTTTATTATTGGTCTTTTTAAACATGACACCATATGGAGAAAATTAGAACTACGGTATGTTTTTTTTTCCTTTACTTTGATCACCCTACTTTGCGGCTTTTTTACGCCTTACGATTGCGGTAACCTGTCTGCTTCTGGCTAGCTACCTGAGGCTAATGCTGCATGCACAGAAAACATGACGGGAATAAGAAAGTCATTTTCTCTCAATAAGATATAGACTCAACAAAGCTTAAGATAGACTGAAAAATGAGGTGAAATATGCCAACGAGATGCAGCAGCGAACCTACAGTGAGGAATATTTTATTGTATTATAGCATATTTCAATTATACACAGTTCAGTAATTTGAAAAGCATTTCAAACAGCTGTGTATTGAACGTCAATAAAATGCAGTACATAGTGAGGCCGTCCGTTTTACCTTATATACATGTAATGAATATACAAATGTCAATTGGATGGTCATATGGTTGAGACATAAAGAAAAAAAATTGGTTATAATGATCATCTGCTTATAGTGATCAATTTCACCCAGACGTGATCACTATAAGCAGTTTCCACTGTGTATGATTGGGCTGCTTCGGTTTGTTGGAGATGTTATTGCATCCCTCACAAGCTCCACAACAATCATTATTCCCTCCTGACTGAGGCGGTATCCTTTAAGCAATTCAGTGTTTGTTTAATGTTTCCAAGACATTGCGACGTGGATTGAAAGCAGCCATTTTGCGGTTGTTTGTGAATTGGTCTTAGTGACTTAGGAGTCCTCTCGACTACTTTTAGTTCTCCCAGTGCTACGTTTATTGATAAGGGGCTTTGTGAATTATTCTTAGTCAAAAGAACCCAGGAGTCCTGCATTTAGGACTGACACGCCCATTATTTTTAGGAGTTTCTCTTAAATCGGCAAGTTAGGAGCTACTTTTAGCCTTAAGATGCTTTGTGAATACGGGCCCTGTTCTCCAGGAATACAGAATTAGAGACCAAGTTTAACTGGGGAGATCCATGAATTAACGCGGATGATGGAAAACCATTATGATGACTTTGTTCAGTCAAAAGGAATTAATTTGTGAGATGACCCATTGACGACACAGTTTTACAGTGAACCATGCTAGTTACAGCTGTTTAATAAACAAGCACATCTAAAAATCTCTGAACCCCTATATGACTCATGACACAAGCATGCTCTAGGAATCAAGGAGGACTTCACAAAAAACTAAATTAAAAGCACACGACACAGGGAACACTTCATGCGGATTATCAGAATTTTAAAAAAGGAACTATCCATGGGATCTTGAACAAATGGGATCATATTTCACTCAACTGGCCTCATGGAATTTCTTCCCTCCGCTTCAGCCACGGTCAGGGTCACTCGCGAAAAAGGATTGTGTTCCCCTCAGCCAGTGTTTCACCGAATGGAAGGACGAGATTTAAGTTCGGTTACTTTTCTTATCATTCCAAAGTCAAAACAAGGACATGAGAGGCTCCTTTGTACAACATAAAAGTCTTCTTCCATCAGTGGTTCATGCCGGAAGCTTGAAAGGAGCCATTAATACCAGTGCATTCCACTGGGGAATGCACTTCAAAACGGGCTGAACTTCCTGGACATTCTGGGACAGACAGATGCAACTCCACACGCCGCATTATTAATCCGACGGTTTTAATGAGATAATCCGTTCGGGTGGATTTCTGACAAGAAAATTCTTGATGATTCTGTTTAAGAGTTAATTATACAAACTACTCAATGCGATAAGCTTTCAGGCCACTAATCTGTTCCAGTCTGCCCACCTATATTTCATGTTGACCTTACTTTGTCTTTTGCTTTTTTCTGGCCTGAAACTGTTCTGTTTTGTTTTTGATGGACTTGATGAGCATGGACAGCCCAGGGTCCATGGCCTTCTTTGGCCCAGCTGGCTGCTGCTTGCCACCGACTTCCTGTTCCGTCTCCTGTTGCCTCCTCTTCACGACTTCCTCCTGCTGTTGCACCTCTCGTCGCCGCTGCTTCTCATCTAAGATCCTCTGGGTGGCCTTGGTCTTCTTGTAGCCTGGATCCGAGGGGTCCAGGTTATACAAGTGCGAGGTAAACATGGCCTGGAAGCGAGGATCTTTTACATCAACCTGTAACAAAACAAGCAATGAGAGAATAAGCAGGGATTCTGTTTTGGTGAAAGCAGTGATCGCATTGAAGGCCTGCATCAATAAAATGATACACAACAGTACAAGTATGATGCACTATGAGATACCAATGAAGTATGCTTAGGATTTAGGACCCTGTGAGGACAAGTCACCTAGGCTCTAGGCCTTTGGTCAATTTCATGTTATTATCTGTTTCCAAATCATTACACCAGGAGAGAGATGATATCTAACACACTACATCTGGCAGCATTTAGCACAAAAATTAGCTGGGCTCTTTTATTTACTGCAAATGGCTGGCTTCACATCTCCGTGAATTAAACCGTTTCAAGGATTACAACAGTACATACGACCCGTCGTTACAAAACCGCGAGCTTTACTGTGTATTAAATGCTCACTATTCCATGCCCCAGGGGAAAAAGCTTTTTCTAAATGACTGCCATCTTCATATCCAAAAATTTAGAGCAAACATAAAATCGCCAGCTATACTTTTAAGAATAACCATTTTCAATGAGTAACAGTTTTTGTGTGGGGCAACTTGGACGACACAATGGGTGAGACTGCCAGATTTTGGCCATAGAGGTCAGAAAGTATTCCTTAAAGGTATAGAATCCATACTCAGGTATACGCCCTAGAGATGTAGATGGCCCATGTAGGGCAGTGTGAATGTTATGGGCCAAAGCATCTGGTTTGGGGGCGTGGCTCAAAGGTAAAGATGCCATGAGGAAGATAGCAAGGGGGGCCGACCTCAAAGTCATCCTCCTCCTGCAGCTCATTCCGCTTCTGCAGCCTCTTCTTCTTCTTCTTGCTCAGGTTCTGCTGCTCCACGATCTTGTCGTAGTTGAAGTGTTTGCGCTTCGCGTCTTCCTCGTCCTCATCATCCATCAGCAGCGCCATCTCCGCCTGGCAAGAGACGAGTGCATCGAGAGACGTTTCACACACTCACACCCCTCCGGTGTAAATCCCAAAAGAGCCACATCTTAATAAAATGAATCTGGAATGGACCACTCTACTGCTGACAGGGGTGTTTTTCTTCAAGTTTCATGCGAGTCGTCTTTCAACAGCTCATTAAACCTCAAAAACAACACATGCTTAGTTCTCTTATATAAACGGCCATTTTGATTAATGAGTCATCAGGTCTTTTTGTGCTTAAGGGAGTAATCTGCCAATCCCTGCCTAACACTGGCAAAACATATATAAAATAAATAACTATCCAGTGAACACCACATTTTCTAAACTCTGCTGACAGGTACCTCATTGCCTAGTAACCATAAGAGTAAAATTAACAATAACAAGAGATCAAATGGGTGTGACATTAAGGGAAAGTGGCATGTTGATGACCCAACACATGTACCCTGTCAAACTGACCTTTTGCCTTTCTAGCTCAGCCTCTTCTTCCGGTGTCCTCTCTTCCTCCTTAGATTTTTTCATCTTCTTGGACTTTGTTTTCAGTTCAGACCCTGGGATCAAGGGACACCGACAAGTATAGTTTAAAAGAAAAAAAAATGAAGTGGATGAGGGCGATCAGGTTCTGCTTTACATTACGGCTCCCGACGCCTCTTCAGTTCGGCCGTCGCTGCCCGTGACCTCGCACCAAATGCAAGGTTTATTACGTTCTTTCAGACTGTTTACAATACATTCTGCCCTCGATCCATTTTCTTTGGACTCCAAGCTGTATGTCAAATGATTCTTAGAAATCATTATTCTGAGGTCATCTGCAGGCACACCGAGAGCTTTGTGTATGGAGAAGCCGTCTTTCATTTATCATTCTTCCATTCTGCTCACTTAAACAACGCAAAGTCGCACATTTTCTACTTGATTGTTTAGATCAAAGGGAACCTTCAGAAGTCACTGCCAAAAATGAAATCAGAATATTTAAAAACTAATTTGAGGGACAGCAAGTCCGTGCTGGTGTTTATATAAAAATAGAAAACAGTAATATTGTTAATTTCCTTCCCTCCCCACTATGTTTGTGATTTACTCACTGTCTCATTGGTCAGAGACTAGAACAGGTGAAAATGACAAACAAAAAAAAAACCTGATATTCCAAGTTCTTCAGTGAAGTACGGATCACTGAGGTCAACGTCAGGTGGTAGGTCATCATCACTTAGGTCAGACTGAGGGGCAGCCTGTATTAATAAAAAGACATACAAATAAAACATTAACAAACCCTGTTTCTTGTACTCAATATTATTACAATACACCAACAGCACATTTTAGGTAGAATGAAACAGTATCTAGCTATATGCTAATAAGATATATTGTAATATGCTAACAATATGCCAATAATCTGCTAGATTTGTGATAGTGTGAAATTCTGCTGCAGTGCACAAATGCTACAACAATATCGAAAACGGCGAGTAGGGTAAACGTGTAGAACACGTACTCCTCAGTTTATCCATGGCTCCCTCCAACAAACAGTCCACATAAGCTAGCGCCATGATCAAAGTTATGTTTTTGGGCTAAAACAAGTGTATTTGTCTTTAATCATATACTCCGAATAATGATATTTATTTTGGCCGACATTGACTCTGATGAAAGAAGGCCCCAAGGCGGACAGTAAGTGCACGGCGGGTGAGATAACATTGCTGCCGGGGGGCTGGGCAGGGTATTTTATTTTTTTTTGCATGACTGCAGGTTCTGTGTTCAGAGACATGGACTTTATAGGCACCTCACAGTTTCACTGGCCACCTCCTCCTGAGGTTCGGTACGAAAGCTCCGCTCCGCGCTCGCGTGCGCGAACTTTTTATGGGGGAGAGCGCGATGAACCCGTTCACCTTCTCACGATTCGAGAAGCTTGTTCAAAAGATCTTTTGGTATTAAAACAACTGCACTTGTGTCTTAGGTCCAACCAAAGGAAGCAGGGCTTTCTGGCCCAGAATACATTAAAGCTTTCCACTCGAACGAAGAGCGATCATACCACACATGTAGCGATACCATTAGGCAACGCAATGCCAAATAGCTCTACGTTTAACAAGCCGCAGCAACATAATGGATGATGCAATAGGAAAGAGTAGGTGGCTTGTAAACATGGAGCCCCTTTATAACATATTATATTGCTTTCTATTAAAAAAAAAAAAACAAGAATCCTGCAGAGCCGAACGGATCCGCAACCTGCTTGCGTTCCGCTTTCTTTTGTTTCTTCTTCTCCTTCTTCTTCTGCAGGAATTCTTCCCATGGGGTCAGCAGGACCTTACTCTCCAGTTTCTTTTTCACCAGTTGCTCTGTCGTGTCCTTCAGACCTACAGCGATGGGGAGAAAAGGGGGGGGGAAAAAAAAACGTATGTAACAAAAATGACGTTTACACAATGTCAGAATGCCATACAGGTGCCGGGGATGCTGATGGTGGTAGGGTGTTTATTGCTATCCATCTTGCTTAGAGGAACATGAAACAATTTGGAAGCCCATTACTTAAAGCACTCATTATAATGCATTATATATACCATCAAAATAATTCATTAAGTTTTACAAACACGGCCAAAACTCTTTATAAAAAGGCATAACACATTATAGCATTTTTTATAATTCATTATGAATACTCTATGAAGCTCTGAGCTATAATGCATTTCATGTAGAGACTGAGGTCAGTATAAACTATTATAATGCATTATGACAGTATTTACAGTCATTTTACATGATAGCTTCATAGAGCATTCATGCATAATGAATAATAAACATGTCTATAATGTTATGCCTTTTTATAAAGTTATAGCTTTGTGTATAATACTTCATCAATGCATTATAATGCACTATGAAGGTATCTATAATGCATTATACATGAGTGCTTTAAGTAAAGTGTTACCAGCAATTCTTCCATTATGGCAGAATCCAGGACCCAGTGATAAGGACCACAAACAATTAAGCCTTCTGATCTCATTCATCTGCATCCATCCAGCAGAGTCAACACCACCAATGCTGAAGCAATTTGAGGCAGCTGGAAGTGTCTCTTTGTGACATGTGGAAGGCGGCTGGACTGCACAGCCCGGCCCGGCGTGATGATCCCTCTGCGTGGGGTGTGCGAGTCCGCTGGGGTTCTGGCTTTGTGCCTGCGCTTCTTTGGGTGTCTGTGTGTGCATAAAAACCTCGCAGAGTGTGAAACTTGGGGCCAAAGCATTAAATAACTCAGCGCTATTTCCAGTAAGGAATATTATCCTCCCCAGTGCCGTGGCAGATCCACCAGATTCCAGTACGCGGACCATTCTGTTCCCAGCAGCTGCACAACCGCAGCTGACAAAATGGCACGGCTCCACAGAAGAAGCCAGAATCATCGACGTCAGCATTAAAATGTCGCGAAAAAGCTGGAACAACTGCTTTTTTGAGGAATGGTTTCTGTTCCGAGTGGCCTCTGCATTTTGTCGGCTCAAATATGAACTTGCAAAACATGTCTCTAAAAGGCACAATTATCCAGTATAACGGGGTAGGCAATCTTATCCAGAAAGGGCTGTTCTGTTGGGTATATGGGTTTTTGCTGCAACTCCCTAATTAGATTACTAATTAGAGGACTGATTGGCTGAAGAGTCCTCACGCTTTTGGGTTATCCCAAAAACCAGCATTGAGGATAAGACTGCCCACCTTTGCAGTATAAACCAGTAAATCTAAATTATACTTAGCATCGGAGATTGAGCTCATTTACCATAGTCTAATGCCCATTGGCTTCTTGGTAACTAGGTATTTTATCCAATTTTTCTTCTTTTCATTAGTTATGTTGTACAAATTAAATTTTTAAAATAGAAAAAAACATGCTTAAGGATTGCCAATGGAAGGCAACTGCAGAACATCAAATTATTATTTTTCACCACTTTGCTGTCCTCCAAAAAAAACTACAACCACGGCCAATACAGATCAAGGCTGTTTGTTTATTGGTGGCCTGGTTTTGCTGATGTATTGTGTATTTGTGTATTGGGAAAAAAACTACAAACACATCTAGGGAAAAGAACAGTTTTGAGCATTTGTGCCTTTGTTTTGTGCTGTGGACCAGGCACATCTGTCACACAAGGCAGCTCGAATCAGGACCTGCAGGAGTAAAGACGGAGATCCAGGGAGCTGAATGGATTGACACTCAGTGGCCTGTTTAGAAGACCCTGTGTAGGTCTCAACAGCAGTCAGCACTGGGGACAAGGAAATAATAAATGAGGTCCCAGGTTTATCCCAGTCTGCCTCTGACAGGCTGAGGCCTGAGAGTGATGCTTTCTAACAAACATCTGCTTGCAGCCTGTGCTGCCTCTGGTTCGCATGCGGCCGCGTTTCTGGAGAGTGCCTGTGTTCCGTTATGTAATTACTTGGACATGGACTTAACGGCGCTTCAGATGGTCGATTTGGATGAAAGGCATCTGACACCACCTCCCCCCCCCCCCCCCCCCCCCACAATACTAACCCAACACAAAAGTTTGCGTTCACGCTCTCAAAATCTCTAACATGCACTTGACCTCCAGGTGCGATTTTCACCACCTCCTCACCATTCGCAACAAAGCAAACCGTGGTATTAAATTACCTGCTTGTGTGGTTTCAGGAGGAAAATGCTCTCAAAACTCCAGTCCGGCAGTTCTTGGAATTACAGGTACTGGAATTTAGAGTCGGCGGCCATTGGAAAAAGACCATAACGCTCGGAAAAGTTGACCGTAAAAGCAGAACAGGTCATGCAACATCTCTAAGACAGAACATTCTGGAAAAATTCCTTATACGGTTGCTAGGAGTTGATACCAATCTGGTGAGACCTAATAATCAATTCAGAACTAACTCACCAGATGTGATACTTTATCAGACCACTGTTTATTTTTAATAAAGTAACACTGCATCTTTACCAGCAGTCTCTATTCAGGAATAATTCCTGCCCTCTACAGGCCACTACGGGAATGACATACAAGGTTGAAGACATCACGATACACCTGCCTTCGTTTTTCAAGCACAGAGGTCGTCCGACAGCAATCATAGGAAACCCTCTACATTTGAACTCTTAATGCTCTTCGGGGGGAAAAAGCAATATGGATAAAAAGCTGAATGAAAGCCATTCATGGAGAAAGGGTCAGTCCTTAAGAAGTGCAATACAGCTCATGCAACGCTTAAACAGTACTTTGCACTCTTCCCCCAAACCACATTCACTATGCTTTGCAAAAATAGCTATCCATTAAGTGCTTAAGGAGAAGCCAAAGTGATCTGTGTAATTGCAATAGCTAGAAAAAAAATAATAACTGAAGCCTGTTCGTGCTTATTGTAACTTCACTAGATAATTGATGAAAAGGTATGACTGTCGGGGGGTTATTTTGCCATAATAGTGTTGCCTAGCGCACATAATGAAACATTTTCCACCCTTTCAAACAACATTTGCGTCTGACATCTCTACATTCCCCCTATGCAAAAGTATCCAGGTAACACAAAGAAAAAAGCCACGTCAAAGACGAGGATAATATAGCCTGCTTTACGTCAGCCAGTACTATTCCCACACGTGAGGTGTGCCAGATTTCCTGAGGTCTCCAACCACGGGGTTTTCAACACATTCTCACTGGAGGTAAACATCCTCAAATTCATACCAAACCAAACAATCATTCATGATTGGAATTTCAGCAGTTCCAAAGCCCTAGTTATGGCTGCCTGACTGCAGGCAGTCCCAGACCACAGAAAGAGTAAACACACACAGATACAGTCACTTCATTCTGGCTACTAATCAACCAATGGTGGTTACTTTGGACTGAAATTCTGACTGCGAGCCCCGGACTTGCCATTCAACTGCCCACTACGAGACGAGCATAAAGCGTGCAATTAAAGTGTGAATACTTATCACCCCCCACCTCGGTGTCAGCTCTCTTACTGGAATCTTCTGGAAATTGCATTGGCCACATTACAGTTTTTCTGCATGACCAGCGGAAATGACCCAGAATATTTTCATTTAAATGCATATTTTTCACTTGAAAGGGGAAAATTCTAAAAGACTTTTCTCGAAAGACACGCAGCTCGGCATGCCTAATTTTCCGACTGGAAACAGCGTAATACCTGGGACCCAAGTGACCTCCATCTCCATGGCTTTGTCCTCCAGCTTCACGTCCTTGTGCTGAATGTCCTTCAGCAGCTCCCGGTACTTTGCAATCTGCTCTGCGTCATTCTTGTGGGGTTTCTTGGCTATCTTCTCCACTCCGTGGTCTTCATCGCCTGCAGCACAGTGACAACAACAATGTTCTTATGATCTCTCTGGAAAGTTAAAAATGGAACTAAATCCAACTGTTAACTACTGCAAGTTCCAATAGATACACAATCTGGTAAAGACCTTCTAGATCTTCGTCCTCCTTCTCATCATCGTCTTCACTGGAGGAGGCCAGGTATGCCTGGAAGTCCATGTCCAGAATCTCATCCTTCTTGAACTTCCTGTTTAGAGTGGTGACCCGCTCATGGTCCGTTTCATCCCAGGTCATTTCCACCTTGAGTGCAAACACACACATGTATATTTGTATTTGTATGCCATGTCACACCTTAACTACCATGAATTGCCATTTTTTGTCTCTAGTTGAGTTGGGTTGAAGTAAAGATTAATTAAAGTACACAACTAGAAAAAGCATCCATTCAACAGTCCAGCCTTTCTGAATCAATCACACACCCAACATACAAACCATAGAAATAAAATATATTCACCTATTTGCATGCATACATACCACAGCCATACAGATGTATGTGTATGTTATAGACACACATACACATATACATATGTATACATACATATGCACGTAACATATATACATGCATACATACATATTGCACAGACAAGACCAAAGCATCAACTACTTTGTCCATGTGTAGCATCAGGCTCTTCTATGACTGATCAACTCTTTGGCTTCTCTCAATGGCTAAAGAGCCCTGACCCTTCTTCTGTGAGGTGAACAAGGTCAGAGAAACAAAATTACGGCGCTGCCAGCCAAGCCGTCTTAACGTGCAGCAGTAGGTCCCATTAAGGCTGTCATGGAGAGCAGCGAGACATGACCTTCCGCAGTCTCGCAGAGTTACGGCTCAATTACCGCTTTAATTTATAGAAGGTCTTTTGTTTGGGCGCTGAAGGTTCGCCATGCCTCATCCTACCTTTGATGTTGCCATCGCAGTTGAGGTGAAATATTTGGGGTTGTAGGCAGCCAAGTCCACATCTGTGGCAACATCTTTTGGCGGCTCATCAAAGGTGAGGTCGTCTGGAATAAACCTGTTTGAAAAATAGAGGAACCATAACAATCGGGGCACTATGTCTAAACAGTGAGGGAATTGTTAATCGGACAGAAAGATTTGTAGTCCACCAATTTACACATTTCAGCTACTCGTGACGTAATGGAAAAACTGGGAACCATGTAGAAATATAACCAATGGGATCCCAACGATCCAGGCAGTGGCACGTTGATGGAAGAGTCCTCAAAACGGTTTGCCTTCACTATAATTCCGGACTCGGTTTGTTTTGCAGGTTTGTTTGCACCAAAAAGGGCAACATGCTTAATTACTCTTTTATATTTTAAATGAAATATATCAAGAGAAACGGATGAGAGAAGTAGGCTCCCTTCTCCATAATCCAGACCATGATTCCACGATTCCATTAAGCGATAAGATGCATGTCCTTTTGTAACACGACTACGGGAAACATTCATCATACATGGCGACGACGCACGTGGCACCATTACGCTGGTTTTCGTTTAATTTGTCCAAATAAACCGAAACATTTTCGAGTTCTCCAAATGTGCAGAAGGTGCTTCTTGCACATTCCGGCATACACGTACCAAGACCCTAAGCCAAGCTAAATAACTCTGAGTTAGAATTAAACAGCCTTCAAATAGAGGCCTGCAACTCAAGTGTTACACTCTACTTGTACCCCAATGCCAACTTGACGACAGCTCTGCGGCTGCCCCTCCCCCGCTCACACGGGGGAGAGACCCAGTGGCGAATCCGCGAAGCTGTGCCGCAGCTCTACCGTGAAGAGGAAGGCTCTCTGCGAGCCGAGCCAAGCCGCCCGGCCTTCCGGTGGTAGATGCAGAGGCCAGGTTTTTTGCCCGGGCCTCGGATGCCAGCGGTCGTGCCGATCGACGGCCCGGCCAACTTGGACGTCGGCCCCTCCAGCAGAAACGCCTTAAACTGCGGCTGCCAGCAGGCGTGAAGGAGGGCGTACCGACACTCGCCGCCGGCAACGGGGGAAATTCAGCGGCAGGGCTGATTATGAGAAAATAAACGCCATGTCGCCACACACCACCGCAAGGGACGCAAAGCCAAATACGACAGCCATGTTCATGAAAGCTGACCCAAGCTGAGCGAAGGCTGGACACCGGTGCCTCCCCGGTCCATCCAGAAGAGGGCTGAAGGCGAAGGGGCTGGGCTGGATGGGTACCGCTCCTTCAATACCGGCATTCTAGCTGTTGGTCTGCATGTTTGAACACATGCACATTCTACACTGATTACCGTATGGAGGCACACTGTGTTGTTTGTATGGCCTCACCTAGCAGTACTGCACTTTACTGCAGTAAAATACAGCCAAGAACATTTATATCACCACACCTGCTCTCTCAGTTAAACCATAAAAAAAAATTAAACGTCACAACATGCTAGAAGTAGGTAGCACTGTGATTATGCTGCCAGACTGTGTATGTTTTTTTGGGGGGGCAGCGTGTGGCTCAGTGGGCTAAGCCTGTGTGTTTGTAATCACAAGGTCGCCGGTTCAGCACGTCTGCGGGTCCTAGAGCAAGGCCCATAACCCCCAGCTCCCTGGGCGCCCCAACAAGACCCTCAACCCCCAGCTCCCTGGGCGCCCCAACAAGACCCTCAACCCCCAGCTCCCTGGGTGCCCCAACAGGTGGCTGCCCTTCGCGGACAGCTTACTCTACAAAGAGCAAGTTGAGGGAGGCGTAAAGACAATTTCCCCAAGGAGATCAATAAAGTATTGATTATTACTACTGTATTATGCTTGAGTAAGATACTGAACCAGAAAGGCTTAGTTATAATTCAAATTTAGTCAAGCAGTTAAGTAAACAACAATTTAATAATTAAACAACATTGGCCAGTTAATTATATTAGTGCCACTTTAATTACTAATATTAAGTCAATATTAGTGCCACCTTTTGGTGGTATATTGAAATAACAATGACGGATATTAAGAATCAGTTCTGTTAGTAAACGCAGGGCAGCTCGCTCACCGGAGATCCAGCATGGAGCTACTACTCTCATATTCATAGCCATCACACTCGTCATAGATCTTGCCAGCTGTTTCTGTGCTGTCGCACTCGACGACAGCATAGTAATACCGCATACGCTTAAACTGGTAGTCCCTCATCTTCTCCCGGTAAATCCTGCAGGAAGACACGGGAGAAAAACAATTGCAGAATCATTCAGGTGCGGCCAGGGTCGATCAATCCTATAGGCGTCATAGGCAGCCGCCTAGGGCACCAGCTTCTGAAAGGCCGCCGGCTTTGCCTTGGACAGAGGCTGCCGGAGGTAACACTGCTACATCAGCCAGGACAGCCATGATTAAAAGTCTCTCCCCCCTTTATTTTGCAGTTTTCCTTGGGTTGAGTTTTTTTTGTGTGTTGGGTCTTTAACCCTCATTACTGAGATCTATGCAGGAACTGTTTTTTTCGCCAATACAACCAATTCCAAAACACAATTTCGCTGCCAATAAAGCTGGGAAAATCTAAACTTCTGTCACAAATGAAAAACAAATCAAGAAAAAATGTTATAAGTTGACAGTGTCTCATAAATTGGGTCACAAAGCCACATATTGCACCAATGTGCACTTGGTTCCTTTTCAATGAAAAGGCAATAAGTTCTAATAAAGCATTTCAATTAAAAAAAAAAAGCTGAGGATGTTAATGGACAGAACTTCAATAATGCTTATGCCATGTACCATGACAAAATATCGCCATCTGGTGTTCATAAAAATCAAAACTAGATGGAGCAAAGCATAGACATCAAAAAGCCAGATCTACATTAATCAAAGTGGGTTCTAGTATCTACCTTTCTTCCTCTGTGTCCAACTCCGGATCCTCTGGCAATGCAACCAGCTCCATTGGTCCTTGGGCCTGTTCTAGCTTCAACCGTTCCTTCCCAAACTCTGAGGGGTAGATCTAAATGACAAAACGACAATGAGGAATCAATTTAAAAAGCGACGATACAGATATTCCCACAATTCACATTTACAGACTTGCTGTGGGATCACTCTGCCATAGTCCAGGATATGCACTAGCAACCTTCCGATCTGAGTCCTAACCTGTTGAGGCACACGCTTTCCCCCACATTTGCCCATTTTTGTATATCTGAACTCCATAGAAGCATAGTCTGAAAAGATTAAGGTCAATAAGAGTTCACGCCATACCTTAACAGACAGCACAACCCCTCCTTTGGGCTTGAAAGAGTTGAACAATGCCAGCAAATCTTTCGCCTTAAGTCTGTCCCAATCGATGTTGCACACAGCGAGTCTCTGGGTGACCTGTTGCAGACGACACATGTGCTTTCAACAGCTTTGTCCCGTCAGTTTTTCTTGTTATAACATCTAAGATCTATGACTTGCTGTGACAGCACCCTACACTGGATTTGTTACAACCAGAAAAAATGAATCAGCTGACGACTGAAACAAGCATACTGAGTAATGTAAGGTTTCACTCGGGTTACAGTTTGGGGACTGCACAGACACCTTTCATGTGGAATAAGCAAATGAGTCCCAGACTTGCTAGAAATATGAAACAATTTAATAGCAACTAACTTCAAATATGAAAAATCTTCACTTGAACTGAAGATCAGAAGACACTGTCATTGGAAAGGAAAGCACACACACAAAAACAGCATTCCCATTCTCAGGCCATGGGCAGGTTCTCTTTATAATGCTACAAAGGGAAGTTCAAGAAGCACTGCACTTATGACACATGAGTCAATGAAGCTGAGCTACTCACGTCATCATTTCGAGGGGCGTCTTTCCACATTTCACCCCAGTCATGCTGGATCTCTTCTTCTTCACGGCGCAGCAATTCATTTATCTCATCTTCCTCATCTTCATCTGAGCTTGTTTCGATGTTGCCCTTCCCCCTTGCTAAGTCAGGCCCACTGTCGCTGTCCTCCTCTGATTCTTCCTCGGAGTCACTGGCACTCTCTCCTTCCTCATCCCCTTCCTCGTCCCCTTCCTCGTCCGTCTCATATTGCTCAGAGAGATCAGCCCCAGAATCCAAAAGTTCTTCATCACCCTGAACACACATTTCCTTTTCTTCCTCTGCCTGCATTTTTTGACCTTCCAAACAAAACAAAACCAAATGAACAAGATTATGCAATATAGGCCTGTATAATCTTTTCTGTGAAATAGGAAACTATTAATAACATGCTGACTTTAAAAGGTAACATGCCAACAAGTATAAATACAATTAAAATAAGTTAATATCTCACCTTGTTCATACTTTGTCACTCCCTTAACACTCTGAGCTGCCATAGGCTTGCTAGACCTCTCCAGAGTCCTCTTCGGTTTTAGAGGTTTTCTACTTGTCTCCAGGGCTGTTTTCTCTTGCAGATCCTCCAGTGGTTCCCCAGCCTGGGTTTTTTCTTCAGGACCCGCTTTGACTTTAGACTTCTGCTTCTTTTTTTTCTGCTTCTCGTCCACCTGCTCGTCCTGGTCATCAGACTGTTCAGAGTCTGTTAGCTCATAGAAACGCTTCAGGTCCTCTGACGATGAGTGGTTGAATGGTCGGCCACGCTTGTCCACAGTGTACTTCAACTTGAAGCGTTTGTCGTGAAACATAGACTGGAACCTCTTGTCGATCTTTATTTTGCGCTCCCTCTCTGGCATTTCCCAGAAGCGGGGGTCTTTCTTCACGCGAAGGAAGCGGTCATCACTGTCCCGAGCTTTCTTGGAAGTCATGGTTGAGTCTTCAGGGATACACCCAGAGAGAAACTGCAAGGTAAAAGGTGAGTTTTTCAAATCATAACCAGGCAACCAGGTCTCTCTGAATGAGCCATCTGGCCAATACATCAAGAAATTCATGTTCACTCCTACCCACAAATGACTGTATCTGAAATTTTGCAAACGTTTTGGCTAAATACATCAGCTGATAGATAAAACATATTATTTATTTAAAGATTATGGCAGCTGAAAGTAACAATACAAAGCAGTCAACGTAACAATACAATATATGAGTGCGATGGTGTATGGTGGTGTTTCTCAAACTGGTTCCCCGGCACCCCCAGACCCGCCCCAGTAGTACCAATTAAAGTACCAACTTGCTTCTTCTTAAAAAGAAAAAGAGAGAGAGAGAGGGAGAGAGAGGGAAAAAAGTGCGTCTTCTAACGTATTTAACTCTCTGGATTAATAAAAAAACTGAAAATATCAATTACTGTCATTTATTCCAGACCGAGAACAATTATTTATGTAATTTATGTTATGACGATGACTTAAGCTTGAAGGGAAGAATGAAGTAAATGTAATTAATTTTACTCGTAAAGAAAAAAAATCATGGGAAAGTCTGCAATATCAAATACTTGAAAGCTATAAATATACATTATATAGATGCGTCACTTCGCACAAAGTGCAACTTTCTGCTATAGCCGTTTTATGCAGTCCTTTGGCAGCCACCAAAATGTGTAAACCTTTCATTAAGTAAAGCAAAATTTACACTACGTAAAAAAACCTTTTCACAGAAGACAGCTAAGCTTATTTCTAAGATGAACATTCTTACAAGTGTCGCCGCAGCTTGTGAGCCACGCTTTAATCACAGGTGAATCGGTGGTTGCTATCAGAACGCCAGTTAATCTTAGATTTTAAGAAAACACAAAAACGCAAGGGGATACATATTCGTGAATCGTTATATTTCACAAATTCTTACCAAAACACTACTGTCAGGCTTCCTTTCGCACACTCCGATATAAACTTCCCGACACACGTGTTTTTTTTCTCCCGTCATGCACTTACTTCCGCCCTCCTCAGTCTACGGCTTGCAGATTGGCTCAAAAAGGCTGCAGATTAAAAACAACAGTACATTAAACAACTGGAAGGAAAATACAGATGTAATATCACACAAAGATTAAGTTCAGGATATATTATGTTGGAGCAACGCTTTAAGTTTACTGCCATTTATTATTATTTTAATTTGAAGAAGATTATGTAAAATCCCGTTGTTCAGTCCAGTTCCAGGTTTTAACTCGAATACGTCACGTACTGTCGGGGGCAAGGGCGAAGCGCTTAACCTACTGTAGTTGGGGATATGTAAGCGATTCCGTTGTTCTTAGAGAGTAATCATTTAAAGGCTACAGGTTACCGGTGATTTATCAGCTGAAAAGTATGAATAACGTTTTAAGTAGCCGCGTCCTTTTTGGTACTTGTAGTTTTTGTCGATGTTTTCTGAGAAGACGCAGAGCCTCGCCACATGTCACCGAACCACGGGGGACGACTGCTACCGTCAGTCACAGGGATGCTAGGATAGACCTGTCGCGTTTTTATGCATCATCACAAACACCATGCTCAATAAAATTACCGAATAACCGGCAAATGTCCGATAAGATTGGCGGTGCTATGAATGTGTTTGATAGAAACATGAAACGGAAACAGAAGCAGTGGGCTGCCTCCTTGGAAGACCCAGATAAATACGAGTACCTCAAAAACGAGGTAGCGTGAATATTTCTGGCTGACCCTCTGATAAACCTGATACCTTTACTGCAGGAGCAGTCGATCTCGCAAAAATTCGGTGCTTTTTGGCTTTGAAACTTAATCTGTACATGTGACATGCAGAGCTGCTGAACGCACATTTTGACTTAAGTGAAAGTGGTACTGAATAATGCACATACATACAAACTGGAAGCATATGACAATGAAACCTGAAAGACATTTTTGCCTTCTCGGTCCAGGTTGGCAGCAGAGTCGCAGACCGGGTGTATGATATTGCAAGGTAAGACTTAAAATAAGATTGTGCAGATAGAATTTATCAGCTCTTTTGGATCATAATAAAAATTTAAATAACTTGCTCCTGGTGCACGATTGCAGAACGTTTCCTTTGGCTTTGGATGTCGGCTGCGGACGAAGTCACATTGCTGAGCACTTGAGCAAGGTAGGCCTGCTCCCCATCAGGCAAATCTGCAGAAACAGTAATTATTATAATCATATCGTAACGGATGCGTCTGTGTTTAGGGATTCCCATTGCTCATTTGCAGTTGTGATTGTCTCTTAATTACTGTAGCCTATTAAAAATTAATGATTCACAATTATTCAGTTTCTGTCATTTGTATTAACTTGCACAAAATGTGCTATAGTATTTGTTAACTGGGGGAGGAAAAAAACATGAATACTACAGAAGACTTGCAGATGTGCTTAAAATTTTTTTGGACTGGTACTATAAATCAGTAATCGGTTTCAATATGCATACATGTTTCTCTAAGGAAATTCTACAATTGCAGGTAATTGAAAATTTACTTTTTCATTATAAATGTATTTATTTAGCAAGTGCTTTTATCCAAAATGATGCACATTCTTTTTGAGAAAGCAGGGTCAGACAGGGAGGGGCCCAATGGCCAAGTCACTCTGCTGACCACAGTATTTGAACCGACAACCTTCTGGCCACAAGCATAGTGCCCCATCGTGCTGAGCTACACACCACTACAAAAATGGTTGCATAAATCAGAGTTGTCGCTTTGCACATTTCGGCACTGAGCCTGTCCTTTGGCTCGTATGTCGAGTGGTCAAGAGGTTCATTGAAAGTACAGCCAGTGAGTTGGAGGCAGCGACTGCTCTGATCGATTTCCGGCACGCATTGATGGTAATTGGTGTGCATTGCTGGGGTAGACTATGAGGCAGTCAGTCGTGCCGGCAAGATTTCATGCCTGCAGCAGGGCTCCAAGACTGCCCATGGACTGGGGTTTTGGCATCGGCAGGTACAGATGGAGTGTTGGATCTGTCCAGGCTGAAAAGGGCTGAGGATCTCCAATGGCTGACCATCTGGTGATGGAGCTTTCTGCCCCACTACTCTGAAGGAGACCGGGGTCTTACTCTGCTGATTCCTTGGACAGACCAAAAACAAATCGGTTCAGCTGCCTATTACTGACCAAATGCTTACAAAGAGACAATAGCTGGAAATTGCAGTAGATCTGTTTGACACGTGTACTGTTTTTGTTGGATTCAATTACATGCATACACAGTTTTGGCTTTAATACAGTAAGGCAGCTGATTTTTTTTCTCGTTATTACATTTTATTAGGAACGTAAACCTTATAAAGAATCAGGCTCACAAATAGTTGTTTTTGCAATGTTAATTCTCTCTCTCTCACTCTCTGGTTGTAATGTATAGCAAATAACAAATTGTATCATTTGTGTTGTGATTCATCCTTCAGGATGTAGTTGAGAGGCTCTTTTTGACAGACGTCTCAGAGAGCACTTTGGTGAGTTTGATACCGGTAAAACCTGCCAGAAGGTGGAGACACATTGCAAATTTGTCATGACTGCGATTTATGGCAGGTGCCACAAGGGGTTGATTATTTATCGTAGATGTTGTGCGGCTTGAGGGGCATATCTATCAGATTTAAGAGCTCAAAGGCATTCTCCAGCAGTCGCCTGTAGTTAGATTATTTATATGTTACAGCTGATTTCTGTTTTGCTCCACTGTAAAATACTCATACCATATGATTTTTTAAAAATGATGATGCCTGGAAGAGCATAGTGTCCAAGTTTGACATTTTTATTTAACTTTACTATATAGTTAATGTCTTATAGCCAGTATTTCATTAATAGCAAGTGGCACATTATAAATCAGTAATATCTAGCAGTTAGTAACAACTCTCATTCCACATTTCAAAATCATAAGAAACTGATATTTTTGTGAGTAGCTGCATGAACGTGGGGTTTCTGTGTTTGTGGTTTAGAACAATCAGCCTAAATTTGCTCTTGTTTCTTCTCCAGAAACGGAGGAGGCAGAGTGACATTCCTGTGCAATGTATCCTGGCAGATGAGGAGTTTCTGCCCTTCAGAGAGAACACGTTTGATTTAGTGATGAGCAGTTTAAGGTTCATGTGCTGACACCTTTTCCTTTTTAATCACTTTGACACTGGCATCACTGTACTGTGTTTTATTTTTGTTGTTTTCAAATGCAAATTTTGTTGTTTTCGATTCAAAACGATTGAAGTATCCCTGCTGAAAAAAAAACAGATAAAAACCAGCCTATGCTGGTAGTTTGTTTGATGGTCATGTCTTAGTTCATGCTGCTCCTTAATGGTTTAGCTGAGTGAGTCACCAGCTGGTTATGCTGGTGTGGCCAGCCTGCTAAACCAGTTTAGAATGACCATGAAAAGCTGGTATGACTGTCATGTGAAAAGATACCTTAAACTGGTCAACTATCATAAGTTGGTCAACCATCCTAACCATCTTAGGCTAGTCGAGTTTGTATTTTCAGCAGGGATTACAAAGGTTACAAAGATTTGCTTAGATAATTAATCCCCATATTGATCAAGAGGTATGATTGACTGGCTGGTCAAGCGTTTGAGCTGGTAGCCCTTATGAATTTTTCTCTTATCTATGTCAGCAAGGACCTAGGCCAGATTGCTTCAATTTGAAGGACAGACCTGGGGAATCAGAGACTTTCATATAAACAGTCCTGTTATTAAGCATTGCTTCCTGTTTTATTTATTCACTCCAGGGCAGTGTTTCTCAAACCAGTCCTCGGGGACCTCCAGACAGTCCACGTTTTTGTTCCCTCCCGACTCTCAGGGAATTGGGAGAGAGCAAAAACGTGGACCGTCTGGGGTCTTCAAGGACTGCTCTGAGAAACACTGCTTTAGAGGAACAGAAGACCCAACCAAAGTTGTTGTTCTATGATGAGGGAAGCCACTGTAGTATGTAGCTCTTGTTCCATCACTCTGGGAAGTCCTGCTACAGCGTAGTGTTGTATATTTGTGGTGACAGTCATGCATTTCAAAGGATCATCATCGTGCAAAACAAAGATTTGCTTATCAATGAACCACACATTTAGTTAACCAAAAAAATACTATTTTCCTCTCTTTTTTTCTATTCTTTCCTCCCAAAGATCTGAAGATCTTTTGGTCTTTATTACATTCTGACACCCTGATTGTTTTTAGACACACAACCTCTGTCAAGCAGAAAACGAAAGGCAGGATTACAGGCCAAACAATCTGTCATAAACCCTGGGGTGCCAAAACATTGACAGACCACAGATTAGTTTTCCATTTCTGTGAACAATTTCAGATTGGATGTGTCATTAACCTGATCCTGGTGCAGTAGCAACATGGAAATGTGCCCAGCACTGTACCCTGGGTCATTTTCTACATTTTCTGACATTAGTTTGCAAAGTGCTGACCGAGAAAGATTATTCCACGGGGCAGGTAAATAAAAAATGTTCTTTCTGGTTTCCATTTCTAGCTTACACTGGATTAATGATCTTCCTGGAGCTTTGCGTCAGGTAAATCTTGCATTTTAAATACCTCACCAGCCTTGAATACAAAAAACATAAATTTAAATCTTGTGTGAAATATAACATTTTGGCTATTTCACTCTGTGTATCAAGGAAGCAATGGAAAGGGGATCAGCAGACGGCATTCCTGCCAACTAACAGCGTATTTCAGCCAATTGAATTCAAGGGGTGTCTGAATTTGTCTGTTTGGCAGATCTTCCACGTCCTGAAGCCTGATGGGGTGTTCATTGGGGCCATGGTTGGTGGAGAGACCCTGTATGAACTGCGCTGTTCCCTGCAGTTGGCCGAGATCGAGAGGGAAGGAGGTTTTTCTCCTCACGTGTCCCCATACACTGCAGTCACTGACCTGGGAAACATCCTTGGTCAAGTTGGATTCAACATGCTAACTGTGGTACGACTCTGGACACCAGA